TATACAGGAGATTTATTTGTGTAAGTGATAGAGAAGTATCTGACTGACTATAAATAAGTACTTCAAGCTGTTCATCTGTACATCAGTATTTAATTTCTTTATATTTCATGCATATTCATACAATTCATGCATATTTTCCCAATAAATTCTAATTCTTTTGCAGGCTTTTTCTTATCCTAATATAAGCAGCATGTCTTAACATTACTAACAAATGAGAATCTTTAGAAGAATAATTAAAAAATTAAAATTACATTTAAATTGATGATTTACGGGCAAGATGAAAGCATCAGCCTGAAGCAAAACTACTGGAATAATTGTTTGGTGTATAAAGAAGAAGGAAAAATTTCTATAAGTGAAAAGCAGAATCAGTATTTCTACTAAAAGGCAGATAATTGGAAACATGAGAAATTTAGTTCTCATTCTTCTAAGGGTTTTGTTACTGGGTACAGGATGCACCTGTAATACTTAAAAAAACAAATAAAATTCCCAAAAGCAAAATATTGCTTGGTTTGCCATAAAATAAACAACTCAAGTTCAGCATCCCTACTAAAAAAACCCCAAATATTAAACCCATTAAAAACCCCAAACCAAAAAACCAAACACAATCCACCACCAAAAGTCTCCAAACAGAAGCAAAGTCCCTGTCACAAAACCAAGCCCACAGAGTATCTCCTCCTCAATGCTGTCATTCTAATAAACAAGAGAAACCAAGATTTATTTTTTCCCTTGATTATGAATTCTACATTCAAAGAGCTTTCAGGATCATATTTCTAATTCCCTACGAAAACACTATGATACTTCACTGACACCGAGCAGAATGAGCAGCAGGCAAACACTGATTCTCCATAGCTGTTGTTTCCAATGTAGCCCAACTATTAAACTAATACCAAAGCCATAATTCTTTTTTTTTCCTCCAGCTTCTTTTTTATGTACATCAATGGTCAAAGCCAGCACACCCAGCTACCTCGTCATGCTCTCCCTAGCTCTCCATTCACCTTCTGGCTGGACAAGAGGCATTGGAGCTGCCCAATGTCATTGATGGGACAGTTCCTTCACAGGAATTTTTCACATCCCAAGAGATCAGACTCATGTCCAGTTGTTTGGTGCCTCTCTTGCAGATCAAGCCAACCAACCACCTGGTGCTCAGCTTGCAGGGTTCAGATGGCTCTGGGGCAGTATGCTGTGTAGGAATGGCCTAGGAACTTCTCTTTGAAAACTCACTCCACTGTATTGGCTAGACACTGGCTAAGCTTCAAAAGTACTTAAGACAAGAAATGAGACATGTGCAAGACAGGAAGATCACATATATGTATGAAAAACGGAGGCTGACACTGAAAAAATAAAAGCAATAAATACAAAAATTACTAGGACAGCAAGTGACATGCCAGAAATAACGTGGCATGTACTCGGAAGCATGAAAATTTTTACCAACTGCATTACCAAACTAATAAAAAGATATATTCCTAGAGAAGTTGCTTTATTCTCCTTTCAGACTACCATGTTGCCACCACAGCTACCACCACTGAACACAGTATTCCTCGTGTTGTTTGTAGGAAAGGGGCAGCAGGACACGCAGTAAATTGTGAAAAGGTTTGGACTGTGAGGTAAACCCTAACAACCTGTTAAAAACTTTAAAAAATCCACTCCTCAAGTCACTGCCAGTTGACTCTGGAATTAATTGAATGGGGCAAATACAGCTTTCATGTATCACCTCTGAAGGTAACAGTGCCCCAGCTGTCAGGTTACATAAGGGCTGGTTTCTTTTCAACCAGAAGGGACACTTTTTTTTTTCCCTTAATGTAAGGCTGAAGGCCAAGTAATTTTCAACAGCAGTGGTGTTCTTGCCAGAGTTTATGGCAATGGGATAACAGAGCAGTCAAGGGTTCTCAGAGTAATTTGCAAGTGTAACTGCAGCAATGTTAAAAACATGCAAAAGCAGTAATTGATTTTGAAAAAACACTGAGAGTTGATTTTATGCTTGTTAAACCACACTCTAGCAATTATCTCGATCATCAACATCTTAAAATAGTAAAAATTAATTTTGTGCTTAAATTGCTTACATAAAATACAGATGATTTATGTTAATGCTCTAAAATAGTGAAAAACGTAGAATATATGACCTTCAGACTCCCATCTTCCCCCTTTGCCTGAAGACTATTACTGACAATGACTCTTACTGACAATGACTCATCTGTTGGCAATGGTTTATTCTTAGCAATTACAGACTTAACATGAATGTTTAAATACCATCAAAAACATTATGATATTTCAAAGTACATTAATGCAACGTTGGTACAATCTGTGAAATCCAGAACAGTCACAAGCCAATACCAGATGAAAAGTTACTTCCACTTTCTGCCTCAGTGTAAATGAGGAGCTCAAAGTGGGCAATGAATGATGTTACAGAGCCCCAGGAAAAGGCTCTGTGCTCAAGGTCAGTCACTAGCAGGCTGGATCCTAAATCCTGTAACTAGCCTTGAAGTCTTGTATCCAATTAAAAAGGTCCACAAACCCCAAAAAAGGCACAAGACAAATGTGTTTTTCATTGCTTTGGGTTACTTATCTGTCTTTTGTGAAAAGATGAGATACTCTGTCTCAGGGAACGAGACAC